GGGGGGTTAAGAAGTAGAACCGATGCACACCAGCAGGAGGTACAACCCCTCAAGAGATGGAATAACGTGAACACACATGAAATTAATAATCATTATTAATGAATAAATACTGCTCAGATACTACTACACAATTGAATGTGTTTTCATAAGGTTACAAAGAGGCGTACAACCAAAGATCAGATGGAAACAGCGGAAGGGGGCGACTTAAAATAATTTTTTTAATAAATAGAGCGGGTCAAAGAAGCGTGGGTCAAGTACAACAGAATCGTGCATCTAGTGATACGTGTACAAGAAACAGTAAGAGGAAGACGTTAGCTTCTCCCCTTAACACCGCAAGGTAACAGGGGCCGAAAAGTATAAAAGAAAGAAAGAAACATAAGAGGCATTATAATATATTATCTGTAGAAATAAAAGACTTTTTCCGCATTATCTTCATTCCCCAAACGCACACAGAGATACCTCCTGAGGAAAACATTTATTTCCTACGTGTGCGTTCGTGTAAAAATCTATCCCTTTAAAACGGGGTTTACTCCTAGAACTTCCAAGTTACTGTCTAATCTCCTTGGGTATACAGGTTTTAATTTTAACGTCCAATTGACCCCGATAGATGAAGAAAGACAACTCTGTAATTAAATAAATCTCCCCCTAAACCAAGTACGATACGATCAATATATTACTCCCCTTGATAAGACGCCCCAGATATTAATAATTATTTTGCAGTTGTCTTTTTTTCTTTTTGTATTATACAGTGTGTACAATGGAGTCCCTTTAAACTTCAACCGAAATCGGCTGGGGGTTTTTCGGTTTAGCAGGATTTTGGGTTTAGATAAATTGCTTATACTATAGAATAGAGATGATAATTTTAAAAAAGGGGGGTTTTAATTTCTTTTGATTTAGGCCAACCGCAGCATTTGATTTCCGTGTCCGGTTTAAAGTTTAAACGGACTCCACACCATGCCCAACATAGCACGCAACACATTACATAAGCTACTTTGTGCAAGTCCAATAGTACTGCTCTCATGGCCCAGGTCTATAGAATAAACAATTATTGATTACTTACTGTGGAGGATACTAACAATTTTTAGTTTAGTTTTAGTTACAGTTTTACGGCACTTGCAACACAAACAAATACGTCACACAAGTGCCAAAAATTAAAGGTGCGATAAGGGAGAATAGGAGGAAAGGTAAGGACAACAGATTTTGAAAGAGAAAGTAAGGTGACGATAATAATATTATTAATAATTTTGTCTAACATGCACTTAGTAAACACACATCACAAAACATGCACATATATATATGCGAACAGATTTTGAAGTCCCATTTTTTTTCCTTTTATTTCTTTGTGCGTGTATTTAATTTTAACACACGTTCAGTAGAGTCCACTTAAAAGGAAAACGGTTAATCCAAAAACATAGGGTTACCTGAAAGAAAAAAAAATCCCCATTTTTTACATTCATTCTATTTGAGAGAGCAACTTCTCAAAACTAAACGTAAAAGCCCAGTTAAATCAAAGAAAATCCGGTGGTCCCACAGATATTGATTTAAGTGGACTCCACTGTACATAGTGAAGTTCGCACATAACGAAAAGATTTGTAGGCCTACGTCCAACCCATTTCGCTAGAGTGCGACGAAGTATAAAAGTAATCTTTTGAGTTTTCAGTGGTCATTTGTAACTATCAAAATAAGTAACCACTCACTATGCATGAAATCAAGTTCAAATCAGCTCAAAGCCATCGTCATATTCCTTCTCTCATCCTCTTCCGGCTGGCCTGCTTGACTAGAAATAGAAATACCAGTATTGCCAGAAGTTGAAGGAAAACCACCTACCAGCGGTCAACAAATGTCAAAATATTGGTAGAATTTAACTGTTCAATGAAATTTCTTCATGAGCATTACTCCTTCTTTGTTGCGCCCAATCATAGCTGTGTGTCGCGCATACAATATGGAGAGCACACTTAGTCTACTAGATTTGGACCTAATTTTTTTAATAAATCACTTATATTATAGTCGAGCATATGATTTTATAACTGAAAAGATGGGGGCCTCTGAATTGAGCTTAATCGAGGGTATTCTTCTTTACTAAATAATACGAAAGGTTGTCGATCCATATAAGCAGAACAGTGATACAGTCAGGCATGGATAACTCAAGCATGTCGGGAACTGACAAACATATTTGACATATTATCCTATAATTCAGGTGAACTGAAATTTGAAATATTAAAGAGATATCGATCAGGGAATAGCAAATTGTACCAGCTATCCGTGGTTTCCAGTTTTCCCTGTTTGTGTTATGTGTGCCGACTGTACTTTACTGGAGAACATTATGTAGGGTGTCCAAGGGGGATTTGGGTAGAAAAAAATCCACTATTAAAATAACAGAATGCAAACCTAGAGTTTTTCAAGTGGAGTGTCATATTGGCGGCAATAAAACCTGCTGCTCCACTATTTCATAAATTTATTTAAGAATGTTATCAAACTCAATAAACAATGAATGCAGAAAATCCATGCTGACAGTTCAGTCATTTTTATTTTTTCCATTAAAGGTCATCAAATTATATATGTAAAAAGTACCTGAAGAAAACAAAGTGAAAGACATATTTGTGAAAATTCACATGGGTGCATAACAAAGAAGGCCTGAATTTTTAAAAATACCCAGATAATTCAATTATACAGTTGTAGCCTACTTGCCCACGACAGAATCACATGGGAGCCAGAAAAAAAAAATATGTCCAAGATATTTTCCGTCTAAAACAGGGGAATTATGGGTGGGTAGGGGTTGTTTCAAGGGTCGCCTGTCCTGTCCAATTGGCAAGCAGTGGTCAAAACTTTACACCTCCCTAGTGTTATCCTAGCCTATCAGATAATGGAATAGGTCAGTCTTACTTATCCATTGTCAATTGCTTGCATCTCATCATAGGACTACTGTTTGACCAATTAAAAATGGAAACAACCGAGTGTTTTCTTTGTTTCCCCCCTTAGCCTCACCCACCAAAGTAATAAAAAACATAATCAACCGATGCCATCCTTTTCTGCATCTACAAATGAATGAAGGAACTTTTTTTCTCCCCTGGACATAAAATCAGGGCGGAAGGCAGCAGTCAAATTAATTTCCCACTTTTAGCAATCCAGGAAAGTTTTCTTGCTGGGGTGCCACAGGAGCACTTTCACATGCAGTGGTGAGATTTAACAGCTACCCCCAAACTGCACCCCCTTCCTCCTTCCTAGCCTTGTGGCGTGGCATAAAGGATAGATAGAGCTGATAGAACCAAACTTAAAAGTTTTGTTTCAAAATCAGGGCTGAGCTAGCAGAGCATCTTCTGTCTTCAACAGGTCAAAACCCTCTGAGGGGGAGGAATATTATTTCTCTTTCTACTTCCAGGCTGAGCTGGTTTCCATCTTCTTGGACAGATGTATTATAGAAGAATTTAAGGGGGGGGGGGGGTTCTGTTACGACCGGTTTCCATCGTTTTAAAGGCAGGGTAGACTGTATAAGAAATTATGTTTACATAGTCCTTCATTACAAATAAATACATAAACAAAAAAGGCACATACAAAGTAATTCAAATTAATACTGCACTGGCAAAACACACCATCATTTAAGAAAGGCAAAGGAAAAATATAAGGTGTTGTGCGATGACTTTTACCCAATAGACCTTCAACATTCTGTGGACAGCTCACACGTCGGTGTATGGTGGAGTAAATCTAGCAGTTGAACCAAAGAAGATCAAGTGCATAGGCCCTTTGGACTCAGAGAGGAATGGCTAAAAGAGTTAAAATGATCTGTATGCATTCTTAAGTATATTGAAAAGGGGTACCGGTATAATAAAAAATAAGAACAGGAAATAAATAATTAGTTTCCAATTAATGCAATGAGCCATACTGAAATCACTTATTCTAGAAACATGATAGGAAGTCCAAACTTAAATGTTTACTTGAGCAGAAGCTAGCTCCCTTAACACCATCAACATTGATGCCAAATTTACCTTTCTGTGATGATATCATGATTACCATTGAAAGTAAAGACATTTTCCAAATTTGAAATCTTGCGAAATTGGCTGAAAATTAGAAATCATTTTTGACACATCACAACATAAAAACTAATACAGCCATCATATATAATATACTAAACATTTTCTTGAATACAACAAAAAAATCATTTTAAACAAGCTTTATTTTTTTTTCAGCAGTCTCAAGAGAAGAGAGTGTCAATATTTACTGGTTCACAGTGCACTTTTCATCGAAATAATGCATTCTCACAATCTCTCAGTCGGGATTATCATGAACATTGCACCCAAGAGTGTCTTTCACTCAACGTTGTCAAAAATCTCTGACATTGGGCCTAAGGCAAAATCCAACAGGCAGTCAAATTTTGTCAAAGGCTCACACTTCATGTAAATTATTGACCTTGGTATGATTTTAGCATTTTATTTAAAAAGAGCATGTGTCCAGCTCTAGTGCATATATATAATCTGAGACTTTTTAATGATTTTTTTATGACTCGTAAAGTTTTTAAATAGCATTCTCAAAGCAAATACTGCAATGGCAATATACATAATATAACTAAATGCACAAATATAACTAAGAAAGTCAGCTTATCTGATCTCTAGTTCTTTAACTCTTTAGATTAACATTTGCTCAAATGAATAGGAATCCAAATAAAATAGTAATTCTACCTGTCACTGTTTATGGTTTTCATTTCATGTACTAGTATTCACTTCACTAATTTTATTTTCAGAGAAGAAGATTTGATACAATAAAGCTTTGATTTCAAGAGGTGAAATTGTTTTCACAAAATGCACCAGTTACAAGTTAAATATTTTCCTGAAGGTACCTACAAACAAAAATTAAGAATCCTCAGCTTGAGTCAAGGTCAATTTAAAGGTGAAAAAATGGTTGAAACTCACATACACCTACCTGACAGTCATTGAGTTAAAGTTGAGTTTCGTCCTACACTGCATTCAACTTTTACACTACCTATACCCTGACACTCTAAAAACAGGAGAGGAGTGAAAGTCCATTGACACCCCACCCCAAACACTTAAATCCAGCAGGTTTTTTTTTTAATATTAAGTTCCATTTTTCTACTACAGTCAAAACTGTGTAAGACACCAGCCATTGCCAAGGGGAACAGTGGCCATCTTAGACAAGTGTCCATCTTAGAGATAGTCATTTTCATGCAAAACATACCCAAGGGAAGAAATAGGAAGTGGCCATTTGTTCAGGTGATTGTCTTATATACAGGTGGCGGCTAGACCAAGTTCTGCTGAACATCTCTCTCATTGTAATTTTTTAAGTTCTTTTTAAAATGTTTCTACGACCTCTGAATCTGACAACTGATATCTCAATCTAAAGCATTTCTCATAATAATACAATGATTGAAGTTTGCATGAAGGAAAACGATGTTCAGTGACGTAGTAAATAATGCTGTAGAGCAAATGAAAAAAACTTAGTTCTTGGCAATCAACTAACCCACAAGTTTTTGCAGGGAATCAGGCAGGCATCAAGAAGGAGAAGTGTTCAGTTCTTCGACAAATCACAGAAAGAAAAACAAGTCCACTAGAATTCAACTCATTGACTCTTAGAAGTTGGCACATCTACTGACTCGAAGCTGAATTTGCGCAACAGTGGTTGGCTCGTTTTAAATATATGAAAATACAGTGCAGCCTCTCTATAACGACTTTCGATTACAACATCCTCTGTATAGCAACATGGTGCCCAGGTCCCGATTTTGTCCTTACATATATATCATTAGTAATATTTTTGGTTGTCTCTCTGTAACGACAACTTTCTATAACGACATTTTTATCTGGTCCTGACGATGTCGTTATAGAGAGGCTGCACTGTACTAATGTGTGCTGATTATCAACAAATCTTGCTGTGAAACAATAAGGAAAAGGTCTACAACTTGTAAGAGTTAAGACAAACTAGTGTCTTATTTCCAGATCTAGATTTCTCCAACACATCCTTTATTTGTCATTAATTCACATGAAAATAAAAGAGGAAAGTTCGAGGAAAAAAATCAAGGTTGTGGAAATGGGCATTAAGTAGTGGGTGAGACAGTCCAACATTTGGTATTGCTACCAGTTTTGCATTTGGATTTCAGACAGGCCATAAACACAAAATATTGACAGAGACTGCCTGAAGGTAATTACCTGCTCACCGTTGTCTGTCACAGAGCATAATACAAAATACCTTATACTACAAGTACTGGAACAAAATCTAACCGGACCACTTCATACTGTTACCACTCCAAACTGCATGAATAAATGAATACTGAATTTTAAAATAAGGCAAAAGTCACAAAGCCTTTTACGACACATGATATAAAACAAAAACAAAAACATAGTACTTATGAAGTTGTTCAAAACCAAAGTGTGACAAAGAAAAGTTTCAAATCAAAACCAGTATGAAACTGCTAAAGAAAAAAAAATAAAGACATGAAAAAAAAAAAAAAGACACGTCATCAAAGGCACCAACATACACCTAGAGAAAAGCAGTTGCCTTCAGAATCGTCTGCTCTTGTACGGATGTGAACGAGCCCTGTTGCTAAGAGGAGCACGCCCAGACCACTCACTCTGCTGGTAGGGCTGCCACTGTTGACCATAGCCAGCATTGGCCATCCACGACGTTTCTGCTCTACTGGGATTAGGGCCCCGCCGATACATTCTGTTCTGTTCAGCTGGCATTCTGTTGTGTTCAAGTGGCACTCTCTTCTGTTCAGCTGGCATTCTGTTGTGTTCAAGGGGCATTCTCTTCTGTTCAGCTGGCATTCTGTTGTGTTCAAGTGGCATTCTCTTCTGTTCGACTGGCATTCTGTTGTGTTCACCTCGCATTCTGTTCTGTTCAGATGGCATTCTGTTGTGTTCAAGCGGCATTCTCTTCTGTTCGACTGGCATTCTGTCGTGTTCAACTCGCATTCTGTTCTGTTCAGATGGCATTCTGTTGTGTTCAAGTGGCATTCTCTTCTGTTCGACTGGCATTCTGTCGTGTTCAACTCGCATTCTGTTCTGTTCAACTGGCATTCTGCTGTGCTCAACTGGCATTCTGTTTGGCACAAAATTCGCGGCACCTGACCTATTGTTGAAAAAGTTGATGTTCATGCTCATGTCAGGGCCCATCTGGACGGACCGAGGTGGCTGCATTAGCAGTGGCTGTTGATGCTGGACACTGACACGACGCTGTGCCTGGCAGCCATAGCCAACAGAGGGGCTGGGCCTGTACCGCGGGGTGGGGAGATTCCAGGCACGACAGATGTGTCCCACGATGAGGTGCGTGATCTGCCGGTGAGCCACAGTGTCCCAGTGAACTCCATCCTGAACTCGACGATGCAGCTGGTGACGCAGGTGAAAGTGAAGGTCAAGGATATCAAGGCCGTAACCTACGGCCACCTGCAAGGAGAGTGTAGTGTGTAGACATCAGGCAATACTGGTAGTGAAAAGATATTAAAAAAGGAGAGTAGAGACATGAGGCAATAATGAAAAGAAATGCAAAAGAATTACTTGACTTGAATAACTTGAATCTAGAACTGGGATGCTCCATGCTTCCTCGCCCCTCTTCATGAGGGTCCATTTCAGTGTGGGCTGGCTGATTGTCTCCATCATCAGCTGGTTGTTGTAGCATCTGATGGGGTCACGCAGCCTGCTCTTCCTACCTTCACCAAGCTGCACTCCTTTCGCAATATATGCAAAAGAAACATCAGGCAATAGTGGAAAGAAGTACAAAAATGGGAGTTAACCCAATTCACCCTGCGTTGCCGCGGCAGTACACTTGTGTCCACCCTGGCTTGCAGCGAGCCGGGGGACAAATCGGTCTGAACTCAACACACTAAACTAAGACACGCATTGTGCCAAAACTATTTAGGGTCTCAATATGAAATTTCACTTATATTTTACTTGAAATTGTCTTTTAATTTTATTAGAGAGAAAGATGAATGAAAGTGAAAGTGCGCAGAAAACAATATATTCTTCGTCCGACTGCGACTCATCGGCACTCGATTTAGCCATTGCAACTTTCAGTAAATCTATATTCTATATCTAGCTTTTTTTCTAAGTTTTCAAGGCACTAAAATCAATCCAATCGCCTTGTTTTTCGAGATTTAGGTCTACTTTCACGTTGCTGCTTATGCCTAAAACAAACTAAAAACATGGTTCATGTATTTCAACAAACACAAAAATAGTCGTGGCACTGTTGTTCTTTGAGGCAGTTTTTTTCTTCTTCTTGTCCATGAAGATTTCAGTACTCGCTTTCTTGTCAAGATTTGTGGAGAAAAAAAACAACAAAACTAACTCATACTTGACGAAAAACTGGAACGAAACCGGCTTGCGAAAGTTTTTACAAGATACAAGCAACCTATTATTTTCAATAGAAACCTGGATAAGTGGTTCGGACTCGATTTTGTGAACTAGTATTTTGATACGACTATTCTCGAAGCTCGGTAAAAGGGAATTAAGCGTGCGGCAGCTGCGAATATACTCGTAGCTCGGGTGCAATGAGTTAAGACACCAGAAAATAGTGAAATGAAAAACACATCTGAGAGACACAACATTGTATCAGATTACATAGCAACAAACTCAAATTACACAAAGTAGGACTGGTTTCGGTATAGCAAGTGTGAAGGCTCTCAAATCCCTGATCTTTGAATCCTGGAAAATCTCCGGAAATTTGGGACAGTTAGCAAGCCTTTTTCATACACAATTTTACCAGTGCTTACAGAACTGGAAGCTATGATCTTTATTTCTTCCACTTCTTTGATTCAAAAGCATTTCATTTGCCCTAAGGCAAAGCACAAGAAAAGCAAGTTAGCTACCTTTGAGCACAGCTTTTATGAGATCAATTTTAATTATTCAGTCATCCTCTTTGAGTTTGTGTGTTGATATGAGGATCTGACCAAAGCAATTGGCGCTCATATGACCTTATGCAGTTGTGAGCGCTGTAAAACCTCTTCTAAAAGTAACTAACCAAAGAAAATCAAGACAACAGCCTCAGTCAGCACATATCGTCGCTCCTTTCAACATCACCAAAATGCAGTTTAATGATATGGTTGAGGATTACAGTTTTCTTGCTTTTCATGATTCCTAATAGGAACAACGCCACAAAAACTAGTTGTTGGTTTTTTTTGTCTGTGGTGTAGAGTAGAATTACCTTGCCCATACGCTTTGCCACATCTCGCGCGTAATCCTGCTCTGTGGGTTGAAGGCCACTCAGAAGCTCACAAGTGGGCGCTGCGTCGCTTGAGGGCAGATCCGCACATACGGCAGGGAAGCTCAATGATTGGTCTTTTTAGATGAGGTCACATTATTCACTGCTCTTCTTTAAATAAAGGTCCCATGAATAGTTTTCCTCTCCAAATATAACTCCACCTTTCACAGTCAACCGGACACTTTTTCAAAATTGTCATGGGTCCGAACATTTTTACCTGGGACCGAACACCCACTATCTAAGCCCCAAAACTCATTACTTTTTAGCTAACCCAGACCTACAGAGAACCAGACACCCACTATATAACCCCCCCAGACCGTACACTTCTTCATAGGACCAGACATCATACTCAAGACCGTACACTTCCTCATCCGACCGAACACTCCATTCAAACCCAATAGAGATCTCTAAAAATAGATGTCTCTATACTTTTTAGATTACCAAGAATCAGACACTCACTATCAAAGCTCCTCAGATCGTATACCAGTACACAGGACCGAACATTCCCTATTCAAGCCATGTTTAAGCCCTTCTGACCGTACACTTCCAGATCCAGATCTACATGGGACGGACACCCCATTCAAATCCAATTTACAATAGAGCACCAACTAGAATCTATTCAGGCCCTCGGACCATACTTTCTAAATCCCTATTTAAAAGCCCATTATAATGCCATACTTTCTAACATAGGGCAAGGCATCCCCCCCCCCCCCAATCTTTTATTTCTGGCTACAGATAAGCACTTGCACACCCACAAACACTCAACACACACACTCACATTCATGCACTCTGTAAGTAACCTGGAAACTACTGATTGGGGCAACACTCGTCACACACAAACGGAAAGTCCTCCAGCTCCTCTGCTGTTAATCTGGAAGCAGACTTTGTGCAACGAGTGTGCCACCACGCATCACATGCTTCGCAGGTTACCTACAGCTCAGCCTGATGTCTCTTTTCTCTACACCCTTTACACTTGTCATTTGCTGCTGCTTCCTCGAACAATACGTCCTCACCACTTTCCTCATCTGCCTCTCTCATGGTCTGCTCCATCTCTACCGCCACACTCTCAATCTCATCCTCATCGCTGTCACTTCGCTTCCTTTTCTTCTGCGCCTCCCTTTCGATCTTCTTCAGCAACGCCTGGTCCTTCTTTTCCTGCCGCTTGCACTTCAACTCTACTGCCTTCTCCTGTCTTGCCACTTTCGCCATCTCCTTCCACACTTTCATCGTTTCCTGGTTTTCTCTCCTTTGCCTTGCTTTCTCTTCTCTTGCGGTCTTCCTAACCAACTTTTCCTTCTCTTCCTTTTCTCGGGCACAATCCTTCAGCTTGATGGCTTCCCGGTGCTCTGCCCCACTGAGCACATACTGCATTGTAGGTGCTGCTTTTTTTGTTACCTTCTTTTTTCCCTTGCCAGAGAAGTTGGGGAGCCTGAGGAGGTCATCCAGGGAAAGGGGTGCTCTGGACTGGGTGGTGACTTTTGGAGCTTCGAACGATGCTTTCAAATTACCCGCAAGCTTTTTGAATTGTGTAAAACCTTCGTGGTTCTCTGAGGTGTCTCTTGTGAGAGCTTGATGACACCTCAAGAACGCATTCCTTCCTAGGTAGTCGAAGACAAAAAGGGCAACGTCGCGCATTGCCTCCAACTGCTTTAGGGTGAAGGCGTTTTCTTTCTCTGGGGCCGTACCTTGATCGGGACTTGGCGCTGAAGTCTGGACTCCGCTGCTCGGTGGTGCTGAGGTCGTTGGCTCCCGACTTGGAGGGGGGCTTGAAATTTCCAGAAGCGATTCAAGTGGGGGGAGTACACAAGGAACGATATTCAAATCGTCGAAGAAAGGAGATGATGGCGCTGGCTCATCCTCTCCTTCCTCAGGCCATGTCGGAGGTGCCACGGAGGTGGCACAGACGGGGGGTTGCGACGCAGGAGGTGCCTCGGAGGGGGCGGAGACGGGGGGCTGCGACGCAGGAGGTGCCTCAGGATGGGGCTCAACCGGCCTGGTGGAGACAAAGTCTCGAAACACCTGGCACGGCTGCATTTTTTTGGTGTTGAGGACTCTTTCAGGGGAGAAGGGGAAAATGCCAGCAGCCCTGTAGCTGGACTCTGCGTTGGCAGTCGTTGTGCAGCTTTGCCAAACAGGCTGAAAGACTTTGGCAAAAGTGTTGAGCCCGACGGCATCCCCTGTCTCGGCAATGTGGCGTCTACTGCCTGATGACCATGCCGACTTCATTGATCTGAAAAATGCCTGGTCCAGAGGTTGGACCGGATGGGAGGCGTGCGGCAGGAGGCAATATAGTATAACCTCATTCTCCTCCCAGATCTTTGAGGTTTCCACAAGTGATTTGTGGCTTACGTGGCCATCTACCAGCAACAGTAGAGGCTTCTTGATGTGTTTTGTTTCTCGGATGAAGGAATCCCTCAGCCAGGAGAAGAAAATGGCTGAGGTGATCCAGCCGTTGTCGGATACCTGCAGGAGTAGTTAAGCTATGTATTATGCACCAGAACATCAACTTGCGAAAGCCCATTTCTATGTTTGTAAGTTTAATTTATTTGTCTATAGTATGGAGGCTGTAGGACACTGTCTTTTATATGGCATTTGTATACTTTTTACGAGTATTTTTTTAAAAAGTATAACACTTCATTATCTTACAATGTAAAAATTAAGGCCTCACTGGACAGCTGAAACAATTCATTATCTTAAATTCTAGAAAAGCGTAGATGTAGTGGGTGGTTGGCGGATGCTCTGGTGTGGTTTGCTAGTTCTTTCATATCAAACATCTATCATCCTTTTCTCTCCTACTTCTTTTTTATGTTCGGTAATACTCTTTCCAGGTACTAAACTAAAAACTGCTAGTTCTTTCATATCAAACATCTATCATCCTTTTCTCTCCTACTTCTTTTTTATGTTCGGTAGTACTCTTTCCAGGTACTAAACTAAAGACAAAACTAACTAAAAAAAGCGTCACTGGACAA